ATAAAACAATCCTCCGATCCCGGTGGGGCGGCGGGAGGGCTCGGTGTGTGTCTGCAGTCTGTATTCCGTATCTCGCTGCAGCTCCGTGCGCGGAGCGAGCCGCGGGCCCTGCCCCGGGCCCCGTTACCCGCCCGCAGGGTGGGGCCGGTCCCGCCCCGGTCCCGCTGCCCACTGCCGGGCGGGGCGGGGCGGGGCCGTTCGGGGCCGGTGTGAGCGCGGGCGGCGGCGGAGCGGGCCCGGCCTGGAGGTGAGCGCGGGGCGGCGGCTCCGGGCCGCGAACCGAACCGAACCGACCCGAACCGGGGCTGGAGCGCGGGGAGCGGGCGCGGGGTGGGAGCTGAGGGGGCCGGGGCTGAGGGGGCCGGAGCGGCGCTGCCGGCGAGCGGCGCCCCAGGCCGGTGGCTCGGCCCCGCCTGCGCGGCCGCGCTTCCGCCGCTGCCGGCGGTGTGGCCCCGGCCCGCGGCGCTCGTGTGGGAGCCGGGCCGAGGAACGGAACGCGGGGTCTGCGGGCCGCGCTCTGCCAGCCCCGGGACGAGGCTCCGGCTCGGGGGCTGCGGGGCCTGGGGAGCGGCTTCCCGGGGGCTCAGGGAGCGCCTTCGCAGGGGCTGCCGCAGGTCCGGCCTGGGCGGCTTCGCCCCTGCCCTGCCGGGCTGCGAGTGTGAGGGCAGCCGCGGCCCGGCACGGCCTGTGCCCTGACCGCCTCCGTGCGGGGACCCGGGCCGGGAGCGTCCTGCCTGGCCCGGCTGCTCGGTCCCAGAGGCGCTGCTGAAGCGCCGCTCACCTGGCGGGGACATTCCCCGCTGTCCCCGCCCATGCTGCTCCGTCCCGGCCGGCGTGTGGAGCGGAGAGCCATGGAACCCTTCGGGGCCGTGAGCAGGGACGGGGTCCTAGGGGAGCCTGAGGTGCGGCTCAGGGGGGGACACATCGCTCCTCTCACCATTGAGCACTCGGAATCTTCATCCATCTTCACTGAGATGGGGGATTCCTGGTGCATCATTTGTGTCAGCTCAGTGTAGCAGTGCTAACGGGTGTCGGTGGCTTTAAGAGTTAAGACAGGAAAGTTTGCTCTTTTGTACTTCCTTGCTGCTCCGTGTGTAGCGATGCCTTCCTATGGAAAGCAGGGACTACCCTGCTCACACTTCTGGGAAACTGGCCTCCCTTCAGATCTGCCTCCTGCATGGATGAGGGATGGAGCATGGACCCTGCCATGGACCAAAAAACACCGAGCTCAGAGGAGCTCCTTGGAAAGCCCTTGGTGTCACCCAAGTGTGCAAAGCCAGATTGAATGGGACTTGAAGCAAGCTGGTCTACTGGAAGGTGTCCCTGCCATGGCAAGGGGTGCGAACTTTAAGGCCCCTTTCAACCCAAGCCACTCTATATTTCTATGACCTTGCATATCCTTAGATATAAGCTGCCTTTCCAGATTTGCTGGTAGCTGAAAATGCTGTCTTGCTTCTGAAAAATTAATTTATTCCATCCAAGTAGAAACTCATTGTGACTTAAAAGGTATTTCAAAAAGTACCTGGTACAAAAAGTAAAAAAAAGAAAAAAAAATATATATACCTACTGCTACCTAAATTTTGTTTTGTTTACTCCTTCATTTAGGGCTGAGAGCAACACTGTGCTTCAGGGAGCAGATTTAGCTTGAGTGCCTGGGTCCCAATTTGTAGGAAATGATCAGGATAAACACTAGGTGCAAGCGAGTTCAGGGAGAGGCAATGCAAGGAAGATTTTTTTTAATCCCAGAACATCAGTATTGGGATAATGTTATATTTTAGTTTTGCAGTGCTGAGACCTTGTTGTGGCTCACCCATGGCAGGAGGCTCTTGGTGGGATGTTCTGCTTTGCTCTGCCTGTAGAAATTCTGTTCTTGGAGCTTGCAGCCTGTCTCTAGCTCATTTTCCTCCTCTTTTCATGTAGTCAGGCCCTTGAACTGAAGTGTTTGCTGAGCCATGACACTGTGGTTTTTGTCCAGAAATGTCATATGTAGTCAGAGGACTTAAAACACCATCTGTAACGCTGGTGGTGAAACTGGAGCTAGTGCTTGGCTTGGCTAGCACTCCTCACACACTGGGTGCTGGAGGCAGAGGGAGCAGGCTGGCCTAGCTGGGGGTTGTCAGCAGCTGTGGTGGCACCAGTGGGTGCCTTGGAAGGGAGCAGCCTGTGCTCCCCAATGCCACTGCTCTTCTGGGCATCATGCTTCTGCACATTGTGTCTCCTGCCCAGTGCTTGTTTGGCCTTTAAAATCTGAATATTGGAGATACTTTTAGGAACGTGTCATCAGTAGGAGGTGAGATCAAGCCCCACTGAGTTCACTTTCCCTGTTACCACCTGTGGGAAGGACTTTGGCACGTGCAATTCCTGTTTGATGTGACTTTGGTCTCTCCTGGCTGGTGACCAAAGCTGCAGAGTGCCCAGGAGCTCCTCCTGAGCCCGCCCTTGGGTGGCCTGCCTGCCTTCCTTGGGGAAGCAGCTGCCTCCAGCTGGAGGGGAGGCTGCTGAGGGCTCTGCAGGGCTGTTCCTTCTGCTGCCTCGCCTCTTGCTTGCATTTTTTTCCTTTTGAGTAACTGCAGAGTGTGTCTCTCCCAGGAGCTGTTTATTCAGAAGGGAATGAGTGCTCCTGGAGCACTAATTTTAAGAGTGGCTGGCTAATAAAGAGCCCTGTGAGGAGTGTGACTGATCCTGGGCAGCTCCAGTTGATCACAGGCTCCTGACCATGGGATTTCCTGATAAGGGCCACGATATCAAGGGGATACAGATGACCAGATCAAGCTCTGGTTTCTCTTCAGATTAGCAGTTAGCAGAAAGAGATACCCAGTTTACACATCTGAATTTTGTTGTTAGGGTGCTTTTAAAATTTATGACCTAAAAGTTTTTCTCCTTGCCTATGTGGCCACACAAACCAAGAAGTTCAGCCACAGAATACACACAAAACAGCCCAAGAAAGAAACTTTCTGATTATTTGTCACCCAAAGCTGGGAAGTTGGGCACAGGGCAGTGTGTGCCCACTTCAAGGTTAAGCTCATCCTTCATGCTGGGTTTGGTTTTAGGTTCATGTCCAGAGAAGGGCAGTGGAGCTGGGGAGGGGTCTGGAGAGCAAATCAGGTGAGGCACAGCTGGGAGAGCTCAGCCTGGAGAACAGGAGGCTCAGGGGGAGCCTTCTTGCTCTCTGTAACTCCCTGACAGGAGGGAACAGCAAGTGGGGGTCAGGCTCTGCCCCCAGGGAACAAGGGGCAGGACGAGAGGAAATGGCCTCAAGCTGTGTCAAAGCACATTTAGATTCAATATCAGGGACAATTTATTCACTGAAATGTTTGTCAGGCATTGGAACAGGCTTCTTATGGCTGTGGTGGAGTCTCCAGCCCTGGAAGTGTTCAAACAAGTGTGGATGGGGCACCTGGGGACGTGGTTTAGTGGTGGTGTTGGCAGTGCTGGGTTAGGGGTTGGACTTGATGATGTCAGAGACTTTTCCCAGTCACAATTATTCTGTGATTGTCACACTTGCTTGTTGCATGGGAGGCTGGTGGCATCTCTGGGTGGTCTCAGCTGTGCTGCTTGGACAGGGCTCTGCAGGGGCTCAGAGGCCACACAAGTCTTGTGGTGGGTGTGATTAGGTGGGGAGGCATCTCTCTGCCCTTCTGGAGTCAGTTTATCTCTACAGAGATCTACAAGTATAAAAATAAAACCCCCAAAATGTTAAAATGCACTGGGCTGCAAGCTAGGAAGATGTTTGACCAGTCTTGATGTGTGTGAGAATGGAAACAAAAACCACCCCCAAGTAATTTGTGAGGACTTCTAGGGCTGGCTTCATTCAAATCCTTGGGGTAGGCTGCCTACCTACTCTGAGCACAGAGAGACAAAGGAGTGTTGTCATCAGCTGCTTCCCTTCTTTTCTGACAAAACACATTTTTTACAAAACAATAACCTGTCACTCCTTTGGAGTGAAGGCTGTCCCACTGCAGTACCCACTCACTCTGGGCTGTTGGCACACACTGTGGTGTTTGGATAACTCACCCAAAAGGCCCAGGGAGCCTCCCTGTGTGCTTTGCACCTGGCTGCCAAATGTTCAGTGCCAGAGGTGGGCATGGGGCAGGGGTTGTGCTGCATTCTGAGCACACAGGCCTCACCTTCGTGTAGACCCCACTGTGGTTCCCCATGCAAATATCACCACTGCCCTGGTGGCTTGGGGGAGCTGGGGACAGCCTCATGGGACATTTTCCCCATGTCAAATTAAAGATTGGCTCTGCACAGCTGTCACTAAGCCATGACAGCAAGACTCATGTGTAGGAGTCAGCCTACACTCACCAGTGTCAGTCTCTGTAACTGAGATTTTTGCCCACTGATTTAATCTGGCTATGGCACAAATTTGCCAGTGAGGTGAGGAGCTGTTACCTTGTAGCAGTGCCTGATGAAGGCTCTGAGCTGCCAGCAGTTAGGGTTTTGCCTGAGTCATCATTTTGGGGCTGCAGGAAGTTAATAGTTGTTGTTATCTTGTTATCAGTGGGATGGTTGGGTACCCATGAGAGGCACCTGCCTCACCCTTCTCTGTCCCCAGTGCTCATGCTGCTGGTGGGAGGAGGCTCATCAGCAGAAAAAACCTTGTCAAAAACAAAAATGTTCATGTTGACAGGGCAGAAGGCACAAGTTTGACTATCCCATTTCTTAACCATGCTTCAGAATGGTTTTTCTTCCCAGCTGTTGGATTTTAGTCATTATAGCATGGTTTGGGTTGGGAGGGACCCTAAAGCTCATCTTGTTCCAACCTCTCCCATGGGCAGGGACACCTTCCCCTAGACCAGGTTGCTCCAAGCCCTATCCAGAGCTTCATTAACCTCATTACTGATTTTGCTAGTGGGATAAAGAGTGTTAAATAAGGATTTTGTGATAGTGCTTCACTGGGTGGTATTTTCATCCACAATATCAGTGTAAAATCTTTCTGGCTGTAACCCTAAGCCTCTATTTCCTTCCATGTTTCTACAGACTCTGCTTGCTGTTGGAAGATGGGAGAGATAGAAGGAACCTACAGAGTTCTGCAGACGCCTGGCTCTCGTTTGGGTGCCCAGAAGAGCTCAGGAGTGAGTACCTTGGAGCCAGGGCAGAACCTCCTGACTGCCATGGCATCATCGCCCGCCAAGGCGCACGAGCGCGACCTCCCCGTCAAAATCAAGATGTTGGACAACACAGTGGAAGTTCTTGACATTGAGGTAAGAGAGATTTAAACCTGATTTCAAGTACACTCTGATAATTTAAAGCTCACAAGGATGTGCCTCTGTAGAGAGCTGGGACATTTTGAGCCATTAAGATTCCTGTTGGAATTTACCTGCTTACAAGTAGTGATAGCAGTTGCATGGCTTGTTTTTTAAAATCTTTCAAGTATAACAGATGTTTTGTGTTTTTAACAGACTTTAAATACAAGCACATACTGCAAGGAGAGTCTTTATTTGTTGTTTGCTTTGGGGGAGCACCAACTGTGTCCTGCCAAAATGTTCTTGCTTCCTGAGCCACATGCAGCTTTGTCAGTTTGGCAGCTGGGAGAGCAGAAGAGCTGTGTCTTAGTTACTGCTTTATATTAATTATTTTAATGCTTTGTATCCTCTCCAAGTAAACTTGCTCCTATTTGAAAGTCTTTGATTGCCAGCATGCTTTAGGAGGGATGCACCAAAGCAGTGTCAGTTCAGTGTTTCTGAAAATGTTTATTTAAAAGTATGCTTGGGGAAATCTGCCATAAGACACAGAAGCCATGCACAGATTAGGGAGATTCTGCTTTGAAACAATTTTTTTCTTCCAATTCTTGTTACATTTTCAGCATTAACCTCTGAGTTTAATTCTAGTTTGCCTGAGATCTGCTGTTAGAAAACAAGTGTGTTGTAGTGAAGATACTCAGCTATCAGATATTCTACATTAGTATCAAGCTGTAATGAGTAATTTATAATTACCACTTGGAGCCTTAGTTTGTTGCATAGACTCAAAAAGGATTTTTCAAATAGAGTGAAAAAGATTTCTGTGGAACTCTGAAGAAATACTGGATCTGGGGGTGTGTTCCACAGATTCTGTCCAGCTGTTCAAGTCTCAGATGTGAAATCTGTTTTTTTTTTTTTTGTTTTTTTTGTTTTTTTTTTAAAGAGTGAGGCTGTGCCTGTATCCTTGCACTTGAGCACAGAGTGTCTGGTACTGCAAACCCACCCATCCCTCATGTACCACATAGAACACAAAAGCCTCTTTTTCCCCTTTACATTATGTTAGAATATTTTTTTAGAAAATCCGCTGACTTTGGTTCTTTTGCTGGATAATTTTATTTATTTTTCCACATTGATGTAGATGGTGCTTTTGTGTTTTGATTCAAAAAAGAAAAAAAACAACTCCAAGCAACACCCTCAGCTCTGTAATTTTGAAAGTCAGTGCAAGGCCAGGTTTATGGGGCTTTCAGCTGTTGTGTTGTATGTGTTAACCATAATTAGAAGCTATCTTAATTTTCTTTACCTGGAAAGCTCTCTCTGATTATGGCACCCACAGAAACACCCAAATTCAGGCACTAGCATGCTGAGGCCATAATTAATATTGTGCTGGTTTTCTTTATGAGATTAGTTTGAACTGAAAAACTTAGAAACTTCATGCCTGATGCTGTGAGTGATGAGGAAAAGGGGTCAGCCTTGGGTCAGCTTCAGAGCACTGAGCACAAAAAGGTCCAGAGTCAGCAGCTGTGGCATTACAGTCCAGCTAACACTGCCTCCATGGCCTTTCAGTTTTGGCTAAATAAGGTAGCAAATGATAGGAAACAGGCATGAGGTATTAAACTGTGACCATCTGCCTGATTTCTTTGGTGAGCTGTTGGGATACCAGGAGCTGCTGACTGCTGTTTATTATGGAAAATGGGAATTTTTCACTTGGGATTGAGGGCAGGAATTAGGAAAAGACATTGCTGAATAGGTGGTGTGTGCTAGCACAGTCATTTTTCAAAAAGCAATGAGAGAAACTGGTGGCCAAGCAGCTGTCCTAGAGAGTGCAGGTTCAGATTGCCACTTGCCCACTTCTCTTTGCTTTTGTCATTTTTGTCACTGGCTGTGAAAACAAGATGTTGGATAACTCTTGGTGAGGTGGGGTTTGTGTTTGATTCAGGTCAGTGGTGCTTTGTCAGTGCAGGGGCACAGGCCTTTCCCATGGGGTTTTGGCACTGCCTGCTTGGGGAGATGGGGGTCATCCCAAAAGGTGCTTTGGGGCTTTTTTTTCCAAATGATTTTGGGGAAAATAATTTTTCTGTCTGTAAGAGCTATGGCAAGTGACTTTTTATTGGGAAAACTGGTGTGTCAATGGAAGGGCAGACAGACTGAGTGTAGGATCAGCTCCTGCAGAGACCCTTCCCTGCTGCAGTAGCCCTGTTTGTTGCCTCCCTGCCTAAAATGAGCCACAGTAGCAGCATTTTTAACCATATGGGATGAACAGAGTAACCACAGGAACAAGGGAATCCATGCAGCTTTACCTTGCCAGCCCTTCCTTTCTCCAGGATGTGGTTAAAACAGTTGCTTCTCTCCTGGTGGGTTTGGTAACCCACTTGACTTCTTAACTTGCCAAAGAGCAAGGAAAGAGACTGCCAGAGTGATGTAATGGATGGAGAGAGAACAAAATGGGAAAGAACAGTTTTATTTCTTTGTGTTTTTGGTGTATCTGGAACAGTGTGCTGGAAGTTCCACATAGCTACATCCAACCACCTTTGAAGTCTATTGGCTCTGTCAATTTTCCCCATCTGTTTCATGAGGTTTGATTTTTAAGTAGGAATTTTATTAATTACTAAGAGGGAATTATTCTTTAAAGTATGTTGGGCAGAAACTTTCTCCAGTGAATCTGATTTGAATGTTAGGGGATGGAGAAATACTCAATGTTTTCTGGAGTTTGAAAAACTGAAAATGGGCTATTTATGGGTTCTCCTTTCCCTTCCAAAACAGAAGAGAGAATGAAACACATCCATTCAGAGCTAGGCTGCAATATTCATTATTTCCATGAGTTGTTTTTTTTCCCTTTTTACAGCCAGCTTGTTTAGTCAGCTCAAATCTTGCTTGTGCCATTTCATGGGTTACCTGGCCTCTTCTCTCCAAACTAAGTCTGTCCAAAGGGTGGTTTTGCACACTGTGAGATGAATGATTGATTGGCAAATTCAATTTAGTTCACACTTCAAAGTAAGCAGGGTTTTACAGTAGAAGTTCTGCCAGCTTTCCAGATTTTCTGAAGAGATTAAACTTGGAGGCTTTTGATCAACACAAAAATGTGGCAGACTCTTAAGTAAAAGGGTCTGGGCTTGGTTGAATTCACCAAAATGACTTTTAATGGAATTGCTGCCAGCAGATGATGTTTAATATTTGGCCTGTGTGATATGTGTCATTTAGGAAATTCTTTTACATGAACTATTCTCTATGCTATGAGGAAGTGCCCCAGAAAAAGTAGTTTATATTATTGTGCTTCAAGTTTACTGAATTGTTGGGGGAGAACTTGGTGCTTCTTCAATGGCATGTACTTCCTCTTCTCCTTCTGCTTGGATGTCAAATGGAATTTGGGAATCAAAAATATTTGTACATTTTATTATAGGATCTGCCTGCCTGCTCCATTCTAAGGAAAAATTTAAAGTGGAATTTTTTTCTTTTGTGCTAATCTTTGTGGGGCTGTTTTGAGAACAGAAGTCTGTTCTTTTCAATTATTTTTAATGCAATGAAGCAATGATGTTCTGCATCCCTGCCATGCTGTCTGGGATGTCCCTTTCCCTTTGACAGGGGTGGACTCCTAGCAGGGAGATGCTCCACTCCACTGCCCTTCTTGGGAACAGCTGCTTAGATAAGACTACACTGTAATTTCCCTTCATTTTCTTATGAATTAGTGTCCTCTCACTGCTCTTGTCTGCTTTGGTGTTCATTGACAGAGCCTGCAAAACTATTAATTACTGCAGAACCAAAGTGGCTTATTCTGTACTAAACTGAACATGTGTACTTGATGATTACTCTGACAGTGATAGTGTCTTTGCTGGGCACTTCCTTGGCTTATTGGAATTTATAAATTGCATTAATAAAAGTGCAAAGCTACTCTCCATCCTTGTGTTCAGCATGGAGTAGAGTAACTCTGGTTATTCTGGTTTCTGTGCAGTCTGCAGTTATCTGTGATTGAAAAGGTGCCATGAAAGTGGCTTCCCCTGGGATGCCCATTGTTTTTGAGCAGCCATTGGAGGCCCTGAAATCAGGAGCTGGGCTGGGGCTGCAGGAAGTTTTTGGGATGGCAGAGGAAGCAATCTGACTGCAATATCCTTCCCATGACTTGGGGAGTGTTTCCCACTCCTGCACATGGCAAATGCTGCTCTCAGTAGCAGCTTTTTGGTGGCTTTAGTGCCCCCAAGAACTTGCATGGGGATGGTGCAGAAATGATGCAACTTTTAACTGCTGTTATTGAGTAATTTTGAGTAATTGAAGTAAGAAATATGTATATGTTAAACACTGGGATGATGCTGTGGGCACTGAAAAGCTCTTGCTGTGTGCCATGAGGAGCCCTGGGCATGCTGCTGGTGGCACAGGCAGCCCAGTCCTGGCTCTGGCACTTGTGCCCTCCTGCCTCTGCCTTGCTCTCCCTGTGCCTGCTTAGACCTTCCTTGCCTGAAGCTTTCCCTTCTGTGCTGTGAAAGTATCAACAGCTTAAATATGTGAGGAGCCAAGCAATATCCTTCCCATGACTTGGGGAGTGTTTCCCACTCTGCACATGGCAAATGCTGCTCTCAGTAGCAGCTTTTTGGTAGTGTCCCCAAGAACTTTCATGGGGATGGTGCAGAAATGATGCAACTTTTAACTGCTGTTATTGAATAATTTTAAGTAAGAAATATGTCAAACACTGGGATGATGCTGTGGGCACTGAAAAGCTCTTGCTGTGTGCCATGAGGAGCCCTGGGCATGCTGCTGGTGGCACAGGCAGCCCAGTCCTGGCTCTGGCTCTGGCACTTGTGCCCTCCTGTCTCTGCCTTGCTCTCCTTGTGCCTGCTTAGACCTTCCTTGCATGAAGCTTTCCCCTCTGTGCTGTGAAAGTATTAACAGCTTAAATATGTGAGGAGTCAAGGAATAGTCTGCTGCTGAATCCTATTAAGTGCTGTGCTGGAGGAATCGAGGTGCTGTTGGTCAGCTCACAGTGTTTTTCTTCCCTAGCCAGGAAGAAATAGTCAAAATTCCAGAAAGAATCATAG